TAGCACCACAGGACCATATCTCCATGGCTGTTCGTATTTATACTTAACAGACAAATATGTCATTCTTTCCGGATCCCTTTATGGGGCCAAATTTTTTTCTCATGTTACCCACCCCCTTCTGAAAAAAAAAAAAAAAAAAGGAAGGCTGACCAAGCCTTGGACACAGACTTTGAGTTAGTGGGATGGTCTTTGGTACCAACAACCACGTGATTCCCCCAAACTGATCAATTTCCTAAGCCACCGGTAGAATAGAGGAGAAGGAACAGGACTCTAGACACACAGAACTCTGTGGAGATGGCGGGTGAGAGCAAGATCGAGGTGGCCTGGTGAAATTCATTTCTTGATCACTTCACATGCTCTTGTTCTTGATTGTAATCCACAGAGAGAGTTGGAGGTCGGACGGTTTTGTTAGAACTTGGCTTGGCAAAGGCTGTTCAACTCTTTCTGAGCAGTAGGCAAAAGGATCTCTTTTTAGTAGCAAGATCTACACTCCTTTCATGAACTATGGGTCATCTTTCTACTCTGGGCGCTTGCAATTGTACCATACCGAGTTCTTTAGACATCTTTCAGAACGCTTTTCAACTCTACTGCTCTAATCAGGTTTCTTCTCTCTTCCTTCTCCTGACCTCTGCTAATGGAGTTTAGTCTAGCCCGGAAATATCTCAAATGTCTCCACTCCCTTGGTCTATAGACCACATTTCGACCCTCATAGTGTAAGAAGAAAAAGAGGAGACATGTTTACTGAACACCTACTATGTTTTGGTCACTGTGCTTAGGCCTTACCCGATTTGAAACTTGGATGATGAAACTTACAAGCCTCATGGAGAAACGAACCATATTAATACCCTAAGGACTTTGAAACCTCAAGAAACATTGCATAAAATATTACAATGTGACACTTCCATTTCTTTGTCTAATTTAGAGTTTCGTATTTTTTGCAAGTGGAAAATATATCCTTTCACTTTCAGAAAAACGAGTTTTCAGTTAAAGTGTTAAGATAGCTCAACCCTCTGTACTTTGTAAAATATTTATATCATAACCTGAGGGACATAGGGATGCCTCAGCAGGAATGGAAAATAACTGGGGTGAGGATTTTCAATAAGAAATTGCCACGGGATCTTTCCTCCTCTCCTGTGAGTACCACTTAAGCTTCAGCCCACACGGCAGCCTTTGCTTGGCTCAGACTGATGAGATGCTGCTCATCTGTCGAAGGCAACCTGAGAACCACAGTACCCTCGCGTAACAGCAATGAGGTCAACTTTTCTTTTCATTTTCCTGTTCCCAAAATAAGGCAGCTGCCCTAGGCAGCCCCTTGCTCTCTGCCCTTTCTTTCTATTCCCTTTATAGAGTTGTTCATCTATGCTCACAATTTCAGCCATGCCCCGTGCTGACCTCTCCTTAGGGTTTCAGTCCTGCGTGCCCGGATGCTTGTGGGACATTTAAACTTGATGGCCTCACCTCAAATTCAACATGCCCCCAAACAAGCACTTTTCTTCCAGAGTAGCGTATTTTAGCCAGTATCCCCAATTTTCCAATTACCCACATCTGAAATTCTCACTCTCCTGTCTTTCTTAATACTAGCAACAGTTGCCATCTATTAAGAATCATAGCTGGCTGGGCAAGGTGGCTTACGCCTGTAATCCTAGCACTTTGGGAGGCCAAGGTGGGAAATTTGCATGAACCCAGGAGTTGGAGACCAGTCTAGGCAAGATCTCATCTCTACAAAAAAATTAAAAAACTAGCCAGGCATGGTGGCATGCCTGTAGTCCCAACTACTAGAGAGGCTGAGGAGGAAGAATCACCTGACCCCAGGAGGTTGAAGGTGTGGTGAGCCATGATCGTGCCACTGCATCCCAGCCTAGGTGACAGAGTGAGACCCCTACTCACACACAAAAAAAGATTCATTGCTAACTTTAATGAGATTCTTCCGATGTGCTATGTGCTTTGCTCACTGAGTTCATCGTCTCATTAAACTCTCATCACAATTCTATGAAGCAGATCTCATAATTGTCATCTTTATTATTCCCATTTTATAGATGAGGAACAAGCTCAGAGATGGGATGTGATTGGCCCAAGGTCATCCTATCGCATGTGATGCTACCATAGGTGGGTTCCAATACAGTTCTTGGACTGTCCTGCCCCAGAGTCCACACACAACTTTTCTACACTTTGTGGCCATCAGGCAGAGCCCATCAGTTCTTCCCAAGAAACGTCTCTTGAAGTCATCAGCCCTATTCTATTTCCAGTCCACCTTACCCCTCACCGCCTTTCCTCTGGGCTGGCTTCCCTGGCACCATGACTTTTCTGGCTTCAGCCTTTTCCCATCAGAAGCATCATCAAGAGTGTACCTTGTTGAGATGCTGTGTTTAATATATTGAGTAAGAACCAACATCCAGCAGTTCTCCAGGAGAGTAACCTTACCCAAACTGTGCTCCTGGAGTGTTCCTTGCACATAGCCTCAATGGAGAGGTGAGAGCTTGCTCTGTGCCTGGAATGGGACAAGACAGATTAATGGCAGAAAGTAGACATTGAATAACAGTTGCACAGGTGATGAATGTTTTGAAGAAGTTCCGAGTGCTTACGGGAGCATCTGACAGATGAGCTAATCTCATCTAGCTAGCCGATCAGGGAGGCATCTTTGAGGAAGACCCAAAGGGTGTTGATGGGGATATGCCCATAAAGGTATCTAAAGACATGTATTTATTCCAGGTCTTCTCAAAGCATGACGATGCATTTGAGTGCAGTGTGACCTTCTGAGGCAGTGACTTGGCATGCAGCATGTTCCCAATGTTCTGGATCTTGCTGTCCTCTATTTTGTGAAGCACCTTAGAGGCTGAGTGTTTCATAGCTTACTAGTTTGGAAAAGACCGCCCTAAAGGGTAAAGTCCAAAGTCCTCAGCCTGGCCTTGATGTTCCAAAAGCAATGCTTTGTGTGACTCGAATCATGTTGCCTTGCTGCACCTGTCCACCTCATCTCCTCTTAGTGCAACCCTGCCCCCTGCCCCACCCAGCCCAGTGCAGTCACTTGCTAATGACATGGCTCTGCAATGCTCATTGGACACACAAGTCCCCTCCCTCAGAGAATGCTGCCTTCTCCCCCGGCCCTTGTCAAACCGTTCTCCGCTCTCCAGGACCCGACTTGAACTTCCTGCTGTCACCAAGAAAACACGATTTCCCTGTTACTTTGTTAGTTCATGTGGCTGTCTCATTTTGCAGTCCCCTAACCGTTAGGTATATGACTCCATTAGATGAAGTAGATATTGGAAGCTACAGACCTTGGTTCAAGTCCCAGCTTTAGATACCATATGTGCTCAGCCCTGGGTGCTTGGCCTTTCTGAGTCTTGGTTTCCTTATCTGTTAAAAAAAAGAATATTGTTCCCTCAGAAGCCGGGTCAGATTTTCCTTGAAGAAGTGATACAAAAGAAGCACAAATGTGGAGAGAAGGCATCTTTGCAGAAATTCTCCCACTTGGTCTTTGAGTGAGCCCATCCAGGCTTCTTCCAGAAAACTCAACAAGTTCAGTCATCAGGTTTTGGTTGTTTCAACCCTGCCGCCCTGTTCCCAATACATCCATTAAAGGAGTGAATCAGGCCGGGCGCGGTGGCTCAGGCCTGTAATCCCAGCACTTTGGGAGGCCGAAGTGAGGGGATTGCCTGAGCCCAGGGGTTCAAGACCAGCCTGGGCAACTTGGCAAGACCTCCTCCTTACAATAAATCAAAAAAGTAGTGGGGCGTGGTGGCCATGCCTGTAGTTCCAGCTACTTGGAAAGCTGAGGCAGAAGGATCACCGGAGTCCAGCAGGTTGACGCAGGGGCGACCATGAGTGTGCACTGCACTCCAGCCTGGGCAACGGGGTGAGACTCCAGCTCAAAAAAAAAAAAAAAAAAGGAATGAATCAAAGAAACTCCGTAAAGCGGATGATTGGCGGGTTGGGAAAGATGAGAGGGGACGGTGTGATTGGCCTGCGAGTGGGGGTGCTGCCATGGGAGGGCTGCTGTGAATCCACGTGTGAGATTCAGCTGCGTATTGATCAAGCCCATTTGCACGTGAACCTCATCATCAGCTCCTGCTTAAGCCCTCGCTTCCCCGGTAATTGACTCTCGCATATTGATTAAGATGTTGATGTGTCCCAGGATTTCTCCGTGGTGATGCCGGCGCGCCTCCCGGCAGGCCCGGCTGGCAAGGCTCTCGCTGTACGGCTGTCACCGCGCGCTCCTTAATGGATAAAGCTGTCATCTGAGAGCTAGAATGTCTTGCAGGCACAAAGACGAAATTAACTGTTCAATAATGTATGGGACATGGAAAAAACTTTACCCAACAACTCGAATTGATTGCTGTAAGTGTTTTGACTGCACTTGCCTGCTTTGCATAAAGTCAGCGACTTTGGCTAGCCTGATTTTCACACACAGCCTTTTCTTGGCCTCTTTCAGAATGGGAGTTGAGAGGCTGAGGCGGCTGCCAGGAATGGGCTGTCTGGAGGGAAGGGCGCTGGGGGCGTGGGGCGTAGGTGGCATCCCTGACACCTCTCCCTTGAGACCCTTGAGTGACCCCCGGGTTTAAAACAACGTGTTCCTGGCAGTTCAGTGAGATCCTGTTGGAATAGATCACCTCGGAAGGGTTGGGTGAGTCGCTGGCTCTGTAGTTCCTGGAGTTCTGTGTCCTCGATTTGCCCCTGACTTGCCTCGTTCCCTCCCTGTTAGGCTGAGACCTCTTACAGAGAGAGGCTGTCAGTCAGACCATGGGAGGAGGGGGCAGTTGGGTCACGAATTTAACACCAGTTTGATAAACAATTTTCGTATCATTGAAATTGGACCTTGCTCCGTGTTTGAGATTTGGTTAGACACAGGCTCTCTAACAAGCCCACAGGTACCAGAAACCACCGTGTAGTCCTCCCTTTTTAACCTGGAAAAGAGGAAAAATATCAAGGTAGCGAAGCTATACTCTACATTTTTCTGCCAAGCTCAGCCCTTTAAAAACATAACAAGATCCTTTGAACATAGCTCTGTTTTATCACAGGATCTTTATTGAAGTTTTAATCAACACAAGCAGCTGACAAAATAGGAGATTGCAGATTCGGCTGTACATTATGTATCCTCCTTGTGAGTCTGAAAAAAAAAATCATAACATTAAAAGAAGAGAAAATAAACAGCCTCGTTTAAAAAACAAATGAATCCCACCAAACCAAGGAAATCCTCTCGCACCCAGAGGAAGGCCTGCCGTGTGGCGTGCCGACTGCAGCCCCAGAGTCTGTCGCCTCATGGAGATCATTACCATAAAACAAATAACCATCTCGTTTTTGTCGCCCACTATGAGTGAACTCAAAACCTCAAGCCCTCGTCCAAAGATTCCTTCTCCCCAGGCCCAGCCAACTAGGGATCAGGCTGACATCTCTCCTGGAAGGGAAGAAGGGCACTGGCCCCTGTGTCTAAATCCCAGTCCCGTGCTCTGTATGGTGACCCATCGTTCTGGCCCCTGGCCTCCCCTCCTCACCACTGCCTCTGTATCCCTGACTTGCCTCCCTTCTTCCCTTCCTCGACAACAGGACAAACACACATGAATTTCTCCACTGAGTGTGCGACAGAGCACTAGACGAGAGAGAGGAGTGCTTTTCTCTTTTTAATCCCCATCTTGGGTCTCTTTTTGAAACCAAGCTGCTGTCTTGTACTCCAAGGAAGGTGTTTCTGGCCCACGCAGTGATTTTATTTCAAAAGTGGTGCGTGGAAACTATTAAAGAAAGGGACCCTGGTGGCTACAGCCTAACTAGTAAGACTCCTGCTTTTTCTGGCCAAAGCCACCTCTCTCTCTACGCAGAAAGGAAGTGAATGCAAGGTCAAGGAGGGTGCAACCCCCTACCCTCAGGTAGGGGCAGTGTAATGTGGTGATGGAGATCTAGACACTCTGATTGTGTAAACCTGGGTCTGACTCTCAGCTCTGTCACCCGGTGAGGTTCTCTAAATATGCGCTGACAGAAGGAATGAATGGGCCACGGGAGGGGGTGTGGTCCAGATGGGGCATGTGAGCAAGGAGGGGATGCAAAGTGTGAGAAGGATCGGCTGGATGCGGTTCCTTAGGAAGGTCTCTTGAAGTAACACTTTAACTGGGTTATAAAATGATAGATGAATGCCTACTGGCAGAGAAGCATTGAAAGACTCATGTTAAGCAAGATGTGATGGGAGAGTTGGCCTGAGAGTCCTCAGGGAGTCTGGAGAGTTGCATGAGGCCACAGGCAATGTTAGAGAGCCTTGGAGGCCAGATAAGGCCTGGGAGTGAGCATCATATTCTTGAACAGGAAAGTGGCAGGACCCATACTTTGGGAGTGATTTTTTGGGGCATAATAGAAGATGAATGGGCCAGGAGGAGCCTGGTCACATGATATGTTCAGGGATATCAAGGGCCAGAGCTAGGGTTCTCAGTATCAGATTTTTAAAATGACCCAATCTTGGGGGGTCTTTGGGGAGAGGGCTGCCTGGTCATTCTGAACCTACCAATTTTGTGGTGACATTCATGCCAGAGTCTCCATTTTGGCATAAAGACTTTCCAGGAAGCTTCCCCAGAAGTTCTGTTTCTCTGCGTTTTATTAGTTTGCAACCCAATCCAGGGAACTAAGCCAATAGACCAAGACTTCTTCCTGTCATCCTTTCCCCTCCCTCATTTTCTCAGGTATTTGCTCCCTGTGTGCCCTGGCAGATGGTGGAGATACAAAGATGGAAGACAGCTAGGTCCTTCTTCACAGATGTTCTCAGCCCACAGAGATGGACAAACCAATACACAGGTATGGCCAAAGTGTGGAGGAGGCCAAGAAGACAAGATGACTAACTCAAATAAGAAGCATAGCTCACAGAGGCTTGTAACCTATTCTTGACAGTAAAGTGCACAGAGGAACTTATCCTTTTCAAAAACATAAGAGACACTTCAAACTTTATTCATTGCAATGGATGAGAGAAAGATTGGGGAAAATACACAGAAGGAAATGACTGGGTCTTGTCTTAGTCCACTTATGCTACTATAACAAAATAGCTCAGACTGGGTAAGTTACAAATAATAGAAATTAATTTCTTACAGTTCTAGGGGCTGGGAAGTCCAAGATCAAGATGTCAGCAGGCTCAGTGTCTAGTGAGGGTTGGTCTCTGTTTCAAAGATGGCACCATGTGCTGAGTCCTCAAATGGCAGAAGGGATAGAAGCATGGGAAGGATGAACTCATTCTCTCGATCCCTTTTTATAAGGGCACCTTATAAAAATAAAAATATAAGGGCACCTTCATGAAGGTCAGCCACTACCAAAAGTTCCCACCTCTTAATACAATGGGAATTAAATTTCAGCATGACTTTTGGAGGGACATAAACATTCAAACCATAGCAGATTTGTCCAGGTACTTGTTTTGGAAGAAAAACCAGGCTGGCCCAGAAACAACAGCACATGTGAGCACTCGGCTTGTAAGAGGCCCCTTCAGAGTCAACACAGAGGTAGAGTATTCTTGGAAAGACTTCACAATTATTCTGGTCACCTTTAACTTTTCCATTTCCCTGGGATACAGAGAGTACTTGCCCTTCAGCCTTAGGGAAGAGAAATAAATTAGGTCAGAACTGCAATTTATCCCATAGGTGAGGGGGGGATTGTCCCAGAGCTTGGGTAACCAATAGCCAACTCCCCCAATCTGTCTCAGGGCAATTACGGTAAATGATTTGAAGTGGTGAGAATGGAAATGATTTATTTTGTGAACCTTGTCAGTACTGCTGTTAAATCATTTGTATTTCATTATGGGACATGAGTGGGCTAGACATTCCCCAAACTACATTCCTTTGCTTCAGGCCCTCATGCCATTTCTACAACTTGGTTATTTCAGGTGACGATTAGCAGGAAATGATGGCAACAGCCCCAGGGTGGTCACTTTTCTGAGGGATTCTGGGTATTATGTTTCAATTACTTATAGTCTCCCACCTAAGACTCCAGAAGGAAACAAGCTGCCTCTGTAGTTGGCACAGAAAATCAGTTTCTTCTTTCTCCTTCCCTTTCTCTGTTTTGTCAGTCAAGTTTCAGGAAGTTAAACCAAGAGTTAAACTAAAGGTTCTCTAGGGTCTCATCTGTAAGAAACACATCTATTTCTTCCATAATCCGAACTCTAAAAGACAAAGTCGGAAACGGGGGGAATAAGAAGCAAATAATAAAGCCAAGTGAAATAGCATTGCATTTGTCGTTTCCCTTCAAGATTCGAATCCCACGTTGTTGAGAATGCTCCAGGCAGGAGCCCCAGGTGGAAATGCCCAGTCCCCAGCATTTCTCCGCTCTGCTGCTCATTCATTCTCCTCTGAGGAACTCTGCTTCAGGTCTATGGTATAGGATGTGTTGGTTTCCACGAGGGCAAGGTAGCAAAAGGGGGTCCCACTCAGACGGCCAGAATGTGCAGCTGTTTCTGCTGACCGCGGCCGCCGGAGATACTGTGGTATTTCTCTTCTGCTTCTGCTAAGACAGCGAGCAGTGTCTGTTTGAAGTCTGGTCTTTGGGAAGGAGACCCAAGAGAACATGAGCTGGGCTTGTCTGGATATCAAAGTCCAAATTAAAAATTTATTCCAGTGTTTGAAAAATTCCTGGCCCAAACCTTCATATGGATTTAAAAAATACAAACTCCCCCTTTCTTTAGTGTCTCCAATTGAGGACTAGAGGATTTATTTCAAAAAAAGAAAGAATGAAAGCAAGGCTAAATAATTCCATAAATGGACTCAGGTCAGACAGCTTCTTAGCTAAATCTGTAAGAAAAGTAATCTGCTAAACCACTTTGGGCAGCTGGGAAGCACTTGTTTTAGTCATCATGTTTGAATCGCCCCTTTCTTCCCCTTTCCTATGGCACGTCCGATCACCTGGCTCTTTACTGCAGGACCTAAGAGTAAAGAACAAGAAAGAACTTCTATTCCACACCCAACACTCCCACTTCATTAGACAGAAAAGTGGAGAAGAGAGCTTTGATTAAAAGTTGTGGATTCCAGAGGAAAAACAAGGTTGCTGAGCAGATAATCTAATAGTAATCATGAAATTATCGGTAACAAGAACATAAAAATCATTAGGCTAAAACAGGAAAAAAATTAAATAAGGAAGGATTAAACTTTAAACAATAAAGTTAAACCAAAGCCATTAACAAAATTTGCAGAAGAAATAAAAATTATCCATTATGAGGCTTGATTAGTGAAATAATTAAACAGAAGCTGAGAATGAGAAATTGTCTCCAAGGGCAAAATACCTTGATGAACAAGCAGGATGAGTATATCAGATTTAGACTGAAAGGAAGGAGCTGGATAAGAAAGTGGTAGAATCATGTCAACAGGTAGAAGCAATGAAACTATGAATGAAGATAGCCCCCAAACTGCAAAGACATAAAGCAACCTGCAAGAAATGAAGTTAAGTCTCGAATTTATACATGTTCTTTGATCCAGAGTTTTTGCTTTGCTGTTGTTTTAGTAAACTTTATACTTTGAAGTTTAACGTACATAGCTATCATTAGTGTACAGCATGATGAATTTTTCAGAGTGAACACACCCATGTGACCACCATTCAGATCTAGCTGTGGAGTGGAACCATGACCCCATAGCTACCATCATTCCCACTCTCCAAGAGTTATCCTTCTTCAGACAGCCATCAACATAGATTAGTTTTTCCTATTCTTGATGGTCACATAGAGTTGTACAATGCTTTTTATTTCTCCTTTCATGCCACATTACATTGATAATCTTTATCCATAGTGTTGCATGCAGTGGTAGCTTTTTCATTCTCGTTGATAAATAGTATTTCGTTGTACATCTGCCATAATTAACATGATTCTACTGTTCACAGACATTTGTGTTGCTTCTAGTCTTTGGTTTATGAAAACTAGCACTGTTAGGAACAATCTTGAGCATGCTCTTTGGTGCTCTTACACATTCATTTCTACGGTATATATCTAGGAGAAGGGTCGAGTCATGGAGTATGCCTATGTTAGCATTAATGGACACACCAAAACAGTTTTTCAAAGCAGTTGTGCCTGGCTACATTTCTGCTAACAGTATGTGAGTGGTCCTGTTGTTTCACATCCTTACCAATACTCAGCATTGTCAATTTATCTGAAATTTACATTCT